AGTGTGGTGGTGCTTGAGTGGATGTGGTGGCGCTTGAGTGAGGTGTGGTGGTGCTTGAATGGGGTGTGGTGGTGCTTGAGTGAGGTGTGGTGGTGCTTGAGTGAGGTGTGGTGGTGCTTGAATGGGGTGTGGTGGTGCTTAAGTGAGGTGTGGTGGTGCTTGAATGGGGTGTGGTGGTGCTTGAGTGGGGTGTGATGGTGCTTGAGTGGAATGTGGTGGTGCTTGAGTGAGGTGTGGTGGTGCTTGAGTGGGGTGTGGTGGTGCTTGAGTGAGGTGTGGTGGTGCTTGAATGGGGTGTGGTGGTGCTTGAGTGAGATGTGGTGGTGCTTGAGTGAGGTGTGGTGGTGCTTGAGTGAGGTGTAGTGGTGCATGCATGAGTGGTGGTAGTGTGTGAGTTAGATGTGATGGTGTAAATTTATAAACTAATTCAGCAAATTAAAAAACAAAGACCTGTATAGTTTGATATGGGTGCGGGTGTTGGTGACAAACTGAAGGCTTCCTTTTTTATTCCATCGATGCCAGTAAGCTGCGTGGTTGGTTGCGGTGGCTGAAGTTCACAGTCTTCCTGGGTGTTCGATTTTGTTTGATTGTCATCAAGGACGTATTTGTAACTTGTGCTGTCGCTGTCATAAAGATCAGAATAGCAACATTGTTTAATTTGCAGTTGTTGATTGAAGTGAATGTCTCCTTGATCCTCTGATCTTACGTGGTAGGTTGGATCGTAGCCCAGCAGTCTGTCGTCGTTGTAAATAGTTGGATCATTATAAATGCGTGTGCTATTGCTGTAACTATTGTTGTTACTGCAACAATGAATAGCATCATGGCTTGGATTGGTGTTGTTTATGTGGTTGTGTGGGTGAAGGCAGTAGAAGTTGTTGTTGTTGATGATGTAGTTGTTGTTTATATAGTTAAGTCCTGTGTTGAAATTTTTCTGCTGTTGCTGATGGTGTTGCTGGTATTGTTGCTGGTATTGATTTGAATACTGAAAGTTGAGAGAATGTTGATGTTGTGGTAATACATCAAAACTGGGTTGTTGCTGCTGATGTTGATGTTGATAAGAATACGATGACGACATGTAACTATAAGGCGGGGAGGAGGCTGACAACGAAAGGTATGACGTCATTATGCCTGAATCATTTGATTGGTTGTTCAAATTGACCTCTGCTGACGTCCTTGCTGCCTCGTCGTCTGCTTCGTGTGGCAAGCATTCAAAACGATAACGATATTATAATATTTACATTGTGAACAACAACTTTGTAAGCAACAGCAATAACTTTACAAATAATGATGGCAATGTTACAAATGACGTCAAGAAATAGTTATAAATGGGACATATGAATAGCATTATTTAAAGTCTTTCATTCATCCAATCAAACTCTACAAATTCATGAACAACACAACAGGCAAGCAGCGTGGCTCAATTTGTGTTCGTTGCTTGTCAGGAGGACTTACTTTATGTATTTACTTGTCTTCAGAAAAGCTTCAACACGAATGAATGATCAAAAATTGAAAGTTAATAAATTTTAAAAATTTTTTTAAAAGGTTAAAAAATCTATTGTGTCATCATAGTCGTCAATCCGGTAAAGTAATCTTAGAGAAAGAAAAAGAACTTGAAAGTAGGACTGAATACATTAACGATCTTTTTGATGATACCCGTGGTGAAAAGCCTCCTATTAAAAAAGACGTAGAAGGACCAAAGATACTTAGATCTGAAGTTCGTGCCGCTCTTTCCAAAATGAAATCAAATTAAGCACCAGGCCCAGATGAGATAGTTGTTGAAGAAATAAAATGTCACGGTGAATTTGACAATGAAAAAGTAACAAAAATTTTTAATGAGATTTATAACAGCGGCGAAATTCCTGAATATTGCATCAGGTGGGTGGTTGCATCAGGTGGGTGGTTGCATCAGGTGGGTGGTTGCATCAGGTGGGTGGTTGCATCAGGTTGCAATATTTATCGCATCGTCTAAAAAACCTAATGTAAATGTGAAAGAAAAATTTTGCAAATTAACATCAACAAAGCAGAATGCGTGGTCAATAATTGTTAATTGTGAACAGGTGAAACAAGTCAACAGCTTCAATTATCTCTGAAGTCTGATTATTTCAGGTTTTAAATGTGATGTAGATATCAAACCAAAGATAGCTATGGCGAAAGATGCATATTCTAAAATAAAAACCATCCTCAAAAACAGTCCGGTTATGAAAAAATTAACTTACTACAAATAACCCGACGGAGGCACTTAAAATATTTGGTCACATTATGTGGAAGAAAGAAATGGATAATCTAACAACTACTGGAAAGATTGCTGGGAGAAGAGATCGCGGTCAACAATGTCGTGAAGTCCCTGTGTCACTAAATGAATATCATCACATTTTAACTGCTACAAAGTGTTAACGATTGGGTTTTGTGGAGGTCGATGGTCGCCAATGTCTTGAAAGAATAGACACGAGAAGGAAGGAGAAGAAGTCGTCAATATTTATTGTTGGCAAGTAGCTGCTAACAAACGATTTCACGAGAAAAATGGAATGTTAGCATTTAGTTCTTAGTAGCATGGCAGATTCAGCACTATCCAAACAAACACCCACACAATGACACTTTGATGAACGGTAAGCAAGCAAAAGAATGGACCCAACATCTAATAATTTGTTTCAATAAAATCATCAAATACTAAACCACATACATCATTTCATTAAATTAGCACATAGAAAAAGAAACTCACACAGACATGTACGTACATAAACGTGGAAGACAGGACAGCACAGCTACACACAAGCACACACGGGTTTTGAGGTTATAACAAATGTAGACTTAATCATTTATTTTATTTTTAGAAACAAATCCATTTCCTGAATTTTCCCAGTCGACGACATTCTGTTTACACGAGATATGCTGAAGAAAAGAGTTATTATGCAGAAGGAAAAGTTGGAATTTATTTGAGCCTGTGTGCACGTGTGTATATATGTTCGTGTGTGTACGTGTGAATATATGTGCTTGTGTGTGCACGTGTGAATATGTGCGTGTGAAGGACTGTGCACATGTGCACATGTATTTGTTTACATCTGTGTGTGTGTAGGGAGGCGTTTGTGATATGTGATTGTGCGAGCCTCTCGAATGTGCTGGTATGCTGTACGCTTCTTCCGACACTTGTATTTTGTTTAAATAACACATTTGGACATGAAACAAAAACGTATACAAATTTTTGCATAATATTTTGTACACACACACACACACACATTGACACGCACATAAACAAACATACGGACATATATGCATACAAAACACATACAAACACACCTACATAAACAAACACACACGCTCACACACACACATGCATTTACAAAATAGCTTATCGACAAGTAGATGCTATCTCAATCGTATCAGGTTAAAAAGCGTTTTGAATGGATGTAATAAATTTGTTTCCAATGAAAATAACACTCGTTCTTTGTGGTGCCCCTGCCTGACCAAGTGCCCTTGTGCGCTTGTGCAAGTGCATGTGCACCGGTGTGGTTGTGTGTGCGAGCATGTGAGTGTAAGGTGAATTATAAAAATACAGAATGCATATAATTTATTGTAATTATTATTATTATGAGTGTTCGTCAAATCTTTTCAAAAACGCCAATAACTAAAATCATAAATTGTCCTGAGAAAATCAATTAGCTTTCAATTCTCTTCGAAACATTGCAAGGGAGAGAGCCGGGTCACGTAACTGTTGTGGCAGACTATTCAAAATTATCGATCCAACAACAGCAAACTTTCTTGATCCTATTTTCAATTTATCAAAAAGAACTTTTAGCAGATCTAAACCATCTGAGCGCAATCCAAGTCGATGCATTGGAATATCCCTCTGAACAATTCTATCTTGAAGGTATTTGGAAGCCAGGCCATTCTTGCATTTATAAACTACAACAGCAAATCTGAAGAGAACTCTTCTTAACTGACAGCCAATGCAATTTTCGCAAAATTGGAGTAACATGTCAAACTTTGACGCACCCGTTACAATCTTTGAGCCCGATTCTGTATTGACTGTAGCTGACTAGTCACTTTATTTGCAGTGCCCCAGAACAAAACATTGCAATAATCCAACTTTGAATGTACAAACGCATGTACTAGACTTTGTAAGACGATGTCTTTATTTAATGATTTCCGATCAAATCTCAATCTACATATGATAATATCGTGATGCAGTGTGTCATGAAAGTGCATTTGTAGGCTTTTAACATTTTACTTTTTTTTCATAAAATTATAGTTTTTGATTTTTTGAAAGTTTTTTGATATTTAGGTTTTGTGCTGACAACATCGAGCAACCGAAACGTATCGGAAGGTTCAAGTTATGTGGGCACGTGGTTACGTTGGAATGATGGTATGTCATTCACGTTGTTTTCATTTGCTCCTCCGTTGAACATCCTTCAATTTTGTTTCCAGCAGATTCAAGTTCCACAGTTGCCAAAAAACCGCAAACTTGCACCAGTCAGTGTTGGCGGCCTTGCACAAACAACACTGTTAGAAAGTTCATTTTCAACCATCGAAAAACAAAATGACACAATAATCTAAGCCATTGAGACCACGTCGAGCTGCAGATAACTTATCAGCGACGATTGCTCGCCAGGTAAAAGCGATGCAAAATAAATTATAACAATAACTACATTGGCAAGGTGACCACAAAAACAACAAAGGGACCATAATGAGAACAATAGGAGCTAACTAATTGCAACAACCACGATGTGGCCACAGCAACAACAAGATGACAACAACAACAGAAGAAAATGGCCACAGCTGCAACAGTAAGGTGGCTACAACAAGAAAGATGCATCGTAGAAAAACAAGCGCAAATGACAGCTAACCAAATTAGGCATACAAGCTAGCATTCTTAATGATACTGAATAAAAACTGATGCCCTTACAAATACAAACAAGAATGCCTCTTTAATGAAATGCTTTACAAACAATACTACACACACTAACCAATTCACGCACACACACACACACACACACACGCACGCACACACACACACACACACACGCACCGCATTTTCAAATAATTACCCGAATTGGTGATGGATGTTGTTGAGGTGTAGTAATGACGTTCACCTGAGATTGGAAGAAGCTGTCTAAATTGTTGGGATTGTGATTGTTCGTACTGTTGCTGTTGTGGTGGTTGTATTTGTAACTGAAAATTATGTTGTTGTTGTTGTTGTAGCTGATGTAGCTGATGTTGTTGTTGACTTTGAGAAGTGTGGTGCTGACGCATGTATGAATGATATCGTTCATGTTGATAGTGGTCTGAATAACGTTGTTGTTGGTGTTGTTGTTGATGGTGGTGATGAGGTTGTTGGCTCTCTTGGTAAAGTTGTTGCGTCTGCCAATGTTGTTGTTGCACCTGTTGATGCTGTTGTTGTGTTTTTTGTAGTTGATGTGATTTTTTGAGTTGTTCATCACAGTAAATTTGTGGTTCGTCTGATGGTTGTTGTGTTTGTGAATTGTGGGTTTTTTTCAATGTCAAGTCTTCAGGTTGTATGGGACTCAAATTGGAAATACATTCAATTAAAATGTTGTTGCTGTTGTTGCTTTTGTTGTTGCAAAAGTTAGTTTTGTTGTTGATGTTGTTGCGATGGTTGTTGTGGTTGCTGTTGTAAATGTTAGTGTTGTTGTTGCATATGCTAGTCTTGTTGTTGCAAAGATCATTGTTGTTGATGTTGTTGTTGATGTTGCTGTTGTTGTTGATGATGGCGTTGTTGTTGACGTTGTAATTTTTGCTGTTGGAAACACATTTTATAGCTTTCATATTTTTGAATATCTCACTGTTTTTGTTAAAATCATTGATACAACTACCTTCAATGAAGTTTGTTTTATTATTATTACTATAGTTATTGTTATCATTGTTGTTGTTGTGGTTGTTGTTGTTGTTTATATTATTATTATTACTAGAAATGTTGTTTATGTTGTTGTTGTTTACACAGCAATCAAAGTAGTCACGTGAGCCAGCACTATCAGCTCTTACATCATTCAAAAAGTTTTCACAATTATTTATGCTAAAATCTTCATTCAAGTAGTTGGAATTAATGCTGACATTGTTGATGAAATAATTATTGCTGTTATTTTTATCATCGTCATTATTTCCTTTATTGTTACGGCCAATGTTGTTGTTGTTGTTGTTGTTGTTGTTGTTGTTGTCACTTATAAGTGGGTGTTCACTTGTGATTGGCTGGCTTGGAGCATGGGCGGATGAT